AAATTCTTTTCTTTTTCTTTTTTTCTTTTTTTTTTCACGATCGCTATCGATCATTATCGCGTTTAAAGAACATCCTGCTCATTTGACCCCGATTTTTATTTACAACGAGACACGTCAGTCGAGAAATCATAAACGCGAAAAGCTGTCCAAGTGTATCGATCAATGAATAAAGCGTCGTATCGCGCCGTGTGTTTACGTAAAGTCACGTTGTGTCACACGTTTCATATTCGAAAAATCTTTCGATATTGAAATATCTCCAATACAAAAATTTCGTTTAAAAAACGCGAAAAATAAAGCCGGAAAAAGCTTTGTGTCGATGTATCATAGTCAATAAATGTACAGACGATAATTGATGTTAATAAAAAGTTAAAATGGTGACGTTAAAAAACACCGTTCGAACAACAGAAATAATTATTTTCGCGTACAAATAAATTATAAGCTATCGAAAAGATGTCATTTATTATTATTGAAATAATAATAATAATTTGATTGTTTTTTTTTCGTTCTCTTCTTCTTTCTTACATTCTTCCAGTTCTATTTATAAAGATTCACAAAGGTTCAACGTAAGATTCACTAATCTTTCTGTTCGAACAGATTCTTCTTCTTCATTTTAATATATAGCAAACAATTTTGATCGTGATATACATTTCTCTCGTTAGAAGACGAAATTAAAAAACAGGGCTTCCTCTTATTTTATCTTTTTCCTTCGTTTCTCGTCTCCGCTTTTAAAATAAATTATTAATATACAATAATTATGAATAACATTTCACGACAAAACTGTTTTAAACAACTTTATCAACGTGATTTCAATATATAGTGGATATAGTTTCGCGGTAGTTGGACGTCATGATAATTCTCGTTACGACCACGTGCCACGAAAACTAGGCTATCTCTTTAATAATTCCTTAAAACGGTGCTCATTACTTTGCGACGACCTCGTTTAACCATAAAGGATATTTCATACTTCCCTTGCTCGAGCTCTTGTTTCCATACATTTTTAGGAAACGTAACACGCGTATATCCAACTCTGGAAACCGCAGGTTAACTTTTTCACTTCATTTCCGTCTATTAACAATTTCTCTTGGATCGTTTTGCAGCTCTCGTTCGAGGCAAATTTTTCGACGAGGACACACATCGTGCAAAAGAAAAGAAAAAAAAAAAAATAATATTCAACGGTAAAAGTAAGAAATTCGACTGGAATGAAAAATCACACGAAATGTTAAAACTTCGACTCGCGCCATTTTATAACGATCTTTTCTCCGAGGGAAAGAGAGAGAAAGAGAGATAGAGAATTGCAGAACTCTTGAATTTACACTCTCGTCTATTTTCACGAATGGAGTTCGAAAGAAAAGAACGGAAGGGCAGAAATTCAAAATAAACACTTGTCGAACTCACTTTGGAAGCACTTCAAAAGAAATTGTCATTCGCGTGAAGCGCTTATCGCCTTTAAAACAAAAAATTTTTCTACGTTATAAGAACACTTTTATTTCTTTAAATAATCCTTCGACCTTTGACTTAATATCGTTCATTCTCCATGATAATTTTATTCACACATCGATTTACAATTTCACCGAATATTTATTAATTTTAAATTTACGTCTATTATAAGAATACAATATTCTTTCTCCACGATCGATATCAGATTACGTTTAATACATTATAATTTCGACGATTCCACAACGTAACTGTCACGTTTGTTCAATCATAACGTATAAATATCACAAAAAAAAGAAGCAAGAACAAGCACAAAATTCCTCTCCTTCCGTTTCTCAAAGTATATTCATAATCAGTAAAGCTTAAAACTATACGTTTAAATAAACTTTCTGGACCACGAGCAATCCTATTTCGTGCAATTTGTCAAAGAATCAGGCGTCTGGTCGAGGCAAGTTTTGTCGAGCAACGCGCGACAACAATTAAGAGCATTAGCAAGTGGGGAGAGGGGAGGGGGGAGGGCGGAATGGCGGAATGGCGGAATGGCGGAAAGTTTTGGCGGCCTGTGACGAGGAATTAGCGGATGGTCCTCCGTGAGGACTAACTACCGTTGGCTTAGGCCAAGATCGAGGATCGCAACTCGAGGCGCAACTCTTTAACGCTCCCATCCGAGGGAAGGAATACACGGGCGCCAAACCCACCGGGCCGTCCGTGACTCGACTTTATCCGAAACTTTCCTCTGCCGCTCGTAAAATTTTTACGCGGCCATTTTTCGAGGCTGGAATCGTGATCGTGTCCCTGAAATCTGGGAAGAGATTTCGCCCTCTTTGGATGCGGCGTGTACTACTATTATTGCTACTACGAGCTCGATTTTATGGCATCGCGTAATTTATAGATGCAGTGAATTTGATAAAGAATTTTATAAAAATGAAATTCTTCTTTATTCCAGTATCAATAAAAACGAAACCATGTGGATTTTTTCACGTCGATAATTCTCAACAAGTGCGTATCATTAGTTATCGTAGATACTCAATGGAAAAGTGATATAAATAATCAAAAATTAAACAATTTTAGAAAAACACTTTGTTGTAAAAATATCGCAAAGTAAGAAATTGAAAGTTCA